ATTCCCTATTTAGAGCAAAATATTATCACTTTCTTTCTCTCAATAAATATATTCTGCTCTTCAACTCTGTTGTTCCTAAAATTCCTTCTTGTGTTTTAGAGAACACAAGCTCATAGGAGACATAGAAGGTCAGGAATTTCATTCCACTTTATCACGGTATGGCTGCCTGTATTTCTAACTAACTCAGCTGCCTGTAACTTTAAGAATTGTTTATCAATTTGACTTGGAGTAATTGTAGCAAATAACATATTCTTAATGGATATACAGAAATATATCATTAAATTGAAAAAATGATTATCACAGTGTTTCTAGCTAGCATCAGCCAACATTTTCAACTTTCAAGTTTGTGGGAAAACAAAAATTAAAACAACTCAGAAAATAGCAATCCTATAGGGGACAGAATATCATTCACTGTAGTTGCCATGTTACTGCAGGTATTTTGTAGATCACAAAAGAAACATTGAGCCTATTAAATACCAAGTATCAGTTTCAATAAATGTGCTCATAGCACTGCATCATTGACAACTGTGATTTTTTTTTCCTGTATGAGGGATTGAACTCATGACCTTGTGATCTCCAGGCAGCTCCTTGTATCACTGAGCTCAATCCGCAGCCCCAACAACTTTACATACTAAATATAACTACTAACAATGTTTAATTTGCCATTGACATATTTAGTATAAATTTTGTAAACCTACATTTTCACAAATGAAATTATTTTCTCTCCTTGCAGTTTAAATTACTTTTTTTTTTTTTTTTAGGTACCAGGGATCAAAGTTACAATCTAGCACTTTCCAGGCAGGTGATTCTGCCTGCTGAGCTAAATTCCTGGCATGTATTAATGAATATTTCACTTTATCCATTCAAATAGTACTGTGATTTTAGCAAAGGATGTCATTGTAGACAGAAATTGATATAAAATCAGAGAGGAACTGGAACCTCAAAGAGTCAACGCAAAAAACTAAATACAACAATCACTGCTACAGGCACAGCTGAAAAAAGCCAGACCTGAAGATGCAGTGACCAGGTCTACATGCTCCTGAAGAGAAAAACAGTAGCTTAAAATGTAATAAAGTTACTGTCACCTCCTCCAGGAAGTTCAGATAGCCATCAATTACCATACTTAATGACCAGATCAACTGGACTATTGTTCCCACAAATGCCTTGGCTCTTTCCACATACCTTTTCTGGCTGACTTGTTCCCCTGATGAATAATATTAGTTAAGCAGCTATAAGCTTATAGATTGATTGTAGTTTGAGACCCACAGTTTACCCACATTGTGATTATCCTGTATAAATGACCCCTGACAATATGACTGTGGCCAAAACACTGAAGACCACTCCTGAAAATTCAGAGCTATTCTCTCTTTTTTCTAAGACAATTTTTGAACTTCTTTTGGTTTGTGACTTCATATCTCAATATTGTGAGCCATTAAACATTGCATTTGATATCAAGCAGGGCAGGATTATATTTCTCTTATCTCAATTTAAATATGAAATGTCTGCTAAAGGCATTGTTTCAAAGCCTGAATTTCAAGCTGTTTGCCTGAGTTTAACATTTCCATGAGATTTTAGAAGTCCTCATTCTAGTGAACTGCAAATGTATTGGAGGAAGGAGGTCACTGTTGTGCTGTAGCACAATAGGTGCCATTCCTAAGTCTGTGTTTGTCACTGCCTCCTGAATGCCACTGCATGCCACTACATGACCTTATTTCCTCTGCCAGCTTTATTCAATAATTCCCATTTTACATAAGTCAAATTTCACTCAGCTCTATTTTTGTTTGTTTTCAATAGTCTTTCTGTCTACTTTGTTGTATTATTTTTATTTTCATTTTAGTTTTTTGCTTTAAAGACATAGTCTCACTTTGGAGTTCTGGCCAGCCTTGCACTCACTATGTAGGTTAGGCTGTCCTTGAATACATGGCCATTCTCCTGTTTCAGCTTCTTCATTGCTTGGATAAAGAGGTGGGCATTATAGCACGTTGTGTTTGTCTTTTTTCTCCTCTCTTTTTCACAATTATTCTTTCATTTCAGTGGCACTGTCATTTAATCCTGAGGTTTGCTTGTGTCAGTAAAGGTTTCTGCAGCTTGAGTTGAGTTAGCCAATATAGGAACCCAATTGAGAAATGTGGAATTTCATAGCTAGTCTCAGGGCCACCTGTATACAGAACCCCCACCCTCATTTCAGAATCTAAACAAGAGGCTCTGAACTGGAAAGTTACACATGTTTTAAAAGATAGAATCACAAAAACTCCTGTTGGAAATCATTTAGCTAGAATCTTATAATAATGGTTGGATGACAACTGTATTCTGCTTCTTTTGTTGAGCAGGTTAATTTTTTTCTTTGGGTACAGCTCATTTTGCTTTCCTCCTGGGACTTCAACACTGAGTGATTTTCCATTTTTCTGGGTGAAATACAGGGCACAAGTTAAATTCAAAGCTCAAGATGGCATCTATGATGCCAAGCTACAACACAGCTAAGTTACAAGCCTCAATATTTTCTAGGGTAAAAACAGACATATCTATAATCCCAGCACTCAAGAGGCTGAGGCAGGAGTACTGCTTTGAGGTTAGGGCAATTCTGTTCTCCATATAGGATGCAAATCTAGCTGATATACATAGAGAAAACTTGTCTCAATAAAACAAAACTAAACTAAACAAATAAAACCAAACAAAACAGCTGAATTGAGACTGATTTCTTCAAATCTTAATTCTACATCTTGGGGATTAATTTTTGGAATATACTCATTTTTGAGACAGTAAATTTAATGCTATATTGCAACTCACAGCTAATGTAACAGCCAAATAGGAGCACTGATTCTTATGCTGAGTCACTGCAAGAGTCCCTGTGCACTATCTCTAAAGCAGAGCTCATAGTGAGAGCCTGCAGGACCAGCATCCATAAAGCACAGAGGCAGACAAATATCTCATCAATCACTTTGATGTAAGGCAATGATATCTCTTCAAATCTCAGTTAGACCATTGAGTCCTTTGTTCTTAATATACTTAAGCAGCATTTTGATATTTAAATTTGGTTTCATAGAACAAAACATAAATAACATCAAATATGATACATAAATAATAACTCAAATGTTCATGGAAAACTGCTGTATGTAAAAAATGTATAAACAATGAAACCAGGAACAAGTTTCAAATTAGAGCTTAGTGTCACCAAGTGATCACTCTCCATTCAGATATAAGAAATATATCTTGGGAGGCTGGTGAAGGAGAACTTCCTTGAGTTTGGGGCTAGCCTAAGTTACAGAGCTGTCTGAAATAGAGAAACCCTGACTGAGACACCCCACAGACAATGTGAAACTTGAAAAGTTACTGCATAAGACACCTTTGGTTTACTTTAAAAATTATACCTATATAACATAGAAAAATTTCACAATATTCAACATTTTCTGAGGAACAATGTTGATATCATACATAGTATACAGGAAACACTTTCAGAGCTGGGTATTTAGCTCAGCAGCATGAACACCTACCTAGCAAGCTTGAGATCATGAGTTTGATCCCTGTTACAAAAAAAATTCAAATTTCACCTTCATGACACTGGGTCATAATTAGAGATAATTAAAATTAGATCTCAAGTGAAGAACACAGAATTCATGGATTGACAAGGATGTGGAATACTGATTCTTACCAGAGCTGGTGTTATTCACCTCAAGGAAGAAACAACCCAACTTTATCTTCATACTTACTCTAAGAACTACCTGACTTTCAGGGAAGACCCTCTCTGTTGTATGTTCTGCTATTGGCACACTGCATCCTGTCACTTCCACATCCTTTCCATGCTCTTCTGATCCACTCTAAGCAGAAAACCCTTCATGACTAAACTACTGATATCCCTGCACAATTTCAATTTATGGCATCTCCTTTACACCACTTAGCAAAGTCCATTGCAGAGCATTTCCATATTTACACAATGTATATGATCAACCAAGCTATTAAATCACCTCTTAATTCAGAGATGACACCCATATTCCTTTCCATTCAGAAGGATATCACGTGTATATGTTCATGCAAACGACTAAATTTAGGCATTTTTCAAAGTGAATTTAACAGGCAGCCCTTTCTGGAATTTGTCCTTAGCAAACACACTTTACCCTGCCCTTGATGACACATTTATATCTGCTTCATTTTTCTCAAAATTTAAACCTCTATGGCTGTTCTCTCAAACATCATCTATGAGCACATGTGTCACATAAAGTATGTTCAGAAATTCTTTGCATTGTTCTGTATAATACATAGCAGTTCATCCAGTGTTTGGGAAGCCTTCCTCCACTGAGGCACATCACTACACATCTTTGAATTCTCAGAACCTTTGCCTCCACCTTTCATGTGCATGGAAATACGAGAACATAGTATAAATTTAGGTGATCACAAAATACATAACTGCATAAGTTTAAGGAGAGCAGTTGTGGCTATGAGATCCTGCATCACAGACATTTATAAACTTCTGGCTTCCAGATTTGTTGCTGACAGGAATGAGAGCAGAGATTTAACTTACTACAGCTGCACCCAGCTTGAAACCACATCGGAATCAGGGTCTCCTCATGCCCCTTCCTGGGCCCAGACTGTTGGAGGAGCAAGGGCAGCAGGCGATTTCAAAAATGGCATTGTGGCCTGGTGGTATCCCAGTGGTGACAGCATTCTAGTGATACACAACTGTCCTGGTGCCAGCGAGAGGTAAAAGGGACAGAGAATGACTCACTGCTAGCACTAGAGGACCTCAGGATCTGAGGCTAAGCACACAGGCTTTAGACAGCACAGCTGCTTCTCACCACTTCTTTTTTTCTTTTCTTTTCTTTCTTTTTTTTTTTTTTTTTTTGTCTTTTTTCCTTTTTATCAGTACTGGGGATCAAACTCATGACTGCCTGCTTTTAAGGCACGCGCTTATGCCCCTGAGCTAAACCCCCAGCCCCTTCTCACCACTTCTAACTGGTCTCAACCGGATTCCACCCCATTTCACTGCTCCCATCCCGTAACATCACCATTGCGTAGTTTGGAGGTCTCCCAGGTTCTTTCTAAGAAGTCCACAGAGAATAGAAGCAAAAAATAGTGGTCTAACAAACATCTAGTGCTCCCTTTTGTGCCCTGGCCTTGCAATTGACGCCATGACACCGGAAAAGACCGCCTACCTTGGCCCGCTTGATTGGACAGTTCTTACAGCCGGCGTCTTCATCACTGATTGGCTCCTGCTCTCCTGCCTGCCTTCCCCACCAAGAATAATTACAGAAAAAAAAACCCACCCTGTAACTGTGGGTCCCCAATGAAAGATGGTGGAGGCTTCTGGAGCTGGCTGTCTTCTGGAATGTTGACCTCAGCTCCTCTGATGAGTATTTGCACTGAAAGTTTTTACCTCAGTCCTTGTTTTTTCTCCCAAACCCATTTTATTTGAAAGTTAAAAAGTAAAAAAAGTGGTCCCAGGAATTAGCTTACGTGCCTGCCTGGCAAGCTAGAGGTCTTGCATTCCATCCAAGATCTGGCTACCACAAACTGTGCTGCTATAAACATGGGTGCACATATATCACTGTGGTATGATGATTTTTATTCTTTTTGGGAGATACCCTGAAGGAGAATAGCTGAGTTGAGTGGGACCTGTAGACCTAGTTTGTGTGGAATCTCCACACTGATTTCCACAGTGGTTGCTTTACCACCAACAATGGAGAAGGATTCCTTTTCTCCCCACAACCCCTCCAGCATTCTTTATTGCTTGACAGTAGGCATTTTTCTTGACAGTAGGCATTTTTTTCTGGGGCGAGGTGACATATTAGTGTTATTTAATTTGTAATTGTTAAATGACGAGTGATGCAGAACATTTCGTCACATATTTATTTGCTGTTTCTATTTCTTCATCTGAGAAATGTGTATCTCACCTCAGATGCACATTTTGGGATTAGGCCTTTAAATCTGGGAAGACTGAAATTTTTTTAGTTTTCCGTGCTCTCAATAGTAACACTTTGTCTGAGGAACAGTTGGCAAATATTTTCTCCCACGTTGTGGGTTGTCTCTTCACTCTGTTAGTGATTTCTCTTTTTGTTAAAAAGTTTTTCAGTAGGGTGAGATTCTCACTTAATTCTCTTTGATTTTTGCTGTTCAATCCATGTTTTCATCATAAAGTCTTTCCTTACATCAATGAAAGATAATATTCAGAAAGTATAGAGCCAGTTTTTCCAGCACCATTTATTAAAGAGGCTGCTCTTTTTCCAGTGACTCTGTTTGGCACCTTTGTCAAAGATAAGATGATTTAGTGTTCTGGGGTTGTTTCTCCATCTTCTAATTTGTTCCTTTGATCTTTGGGTCTGGTTTTGTTTGTTTTGTTTTTTGTCAGTACCACACCTTTTTTTAAAATCACAATACCTTTATATTACAATTTCAAGGCAGGGATTTTGATGAACCCTATCTTTTCTTTGTTGCCCAGGATCACCTTTGCTACTCTAGGTCTCTTCTGGTTCCAGATGAATTTTAGGATTTATTTTGTGTAATTCTTTGAGATATGCTATGGGGTTTTGATTGGGATTGCACTGAATCTGTATAATAGCTTTGGAAGTATGGTCATTTTCACTATATTGGATTTCCCTACCCAAGACTATGGGATAGCTCTTCATTTTAGAATATCTTCTTCAATCTCCTTGTTGAGAGTACTGTAGTTTACAGTGTAGAGGTCATTTACATTCTTTGTTAGATTGATTCCTAAGTATTTCATTTTGTTGGATGCTATTGTAAAAGTTATTGTTTCCTTGATTTCTCTTTCCATGAGTTTTTATTCTTGTTTATGAAGTCTATTGATTGTTGAGTGTTGCCTTTCTAACCAGCTATATTACTGAATTTGCTTCTTAAACTAGAAGTCTTTTCATGGAATTTTTGTGGTCTTCTAAGTAGAGTATCATGTCTTCTGCAAATAATGATAGTTCCTTTCCTATCTTTATTCCTTTTATTTCTTTCTCTTGTCTAATTGCTCCAGCTAGTTTCCAGGACTATATTGAATAAGAGTGGAGGCAGTAGACATCCTTGTTTTTTTCCTGATTTTAGAGTAAAAGCTTTCAGTATGAGGTTGACTGTTGGTTTGTAATAAAAGGCTTTCATCAGATTGAGATAAAGATCATCTCTCCCAAGTTTTGTAGGTTTTTTATTATGAATAGGTAACGGACTTTGTCAAAATCTTTTTCTGCATGTATTGAAATGATCAAATGATTTTTGCTTTTGGATTTGTCAATACGTGTATTATATATATGGTTTTATGTATGTTGAACCACCACTGCTTCCCAGGGAATAATTCCACTTGATCGTGGTGTAAAATCTTCTTGATGATATTCTGCAGTCTGTTGTCCAGTATCTTATTGAGGATTTTTGCTTCAATGTTCACTAGGCAGAATGGTCTGTAATTCTCTTACTTATTTGGATTGTTCTCTGGTTTTGGTATCATGGTAATGCTTGCTTCCAGGAATGAATTGGAAAGTACCATTTCCCATTTGATTTCATTAAATTTTGAGAAGCGGTGGTGTTAGCTCTTCTCTAAATTTCTTATTTATCCCTGCCATTTCATGGCTACCCCTGCTTTCTTTCAAGGATCAGTGGACTCTTTCCATAATGGGCTGCAAATGTTTTCAGGATTCAGGTTCAATCCTCCAGGAATAAAAAATCCACTGATGTCAGAAAATATTCTGAGAACATGCCAGGGTGGGACACAACAGAACAGAGAGTCAGAAGTCTGTGTTAGAGGCAGCAGACTTCATTTTCATGATTTTCACTCATTTCCACTAATTTTCCACCTAGAAACCCAGCATGTGAACACAAAACGAGTACAGTTACTGTGTAAAGTGAAGACATTACATTTAAATGATAGTAATGGTCTGCAACAGAGTAAAGATGAAATAAAAGCAAGCATCAATTCTCCAAGACAAGCTTGCTATTCATTCAGACTCATAATAATGCTGAATTCTGAATGTGATCATATTGCCCAGCATGGAGGTGACAATTATTGCTGAAATGGAACCAAATTCCTAATCCAATTAAACATTTCCTTCTGATGAGGCAGGGACAGCCGAGGAGTTTACACTCTAAGTTCTCCTTGCCATATAGTTCCCGTGTCACTACTTGGCACTCAGCTCTTCAGGATTTTAATATTCCTAGAAGTCATATATTCCCTAAAGCCTGGTTATCCATTTGTTAACACCTTTTTGGCTTCAGAAATGTGTAGGATATTACTATGATCACTTCTATATTTATATACTGCATCCATGTGTGTTGGAACCCATGAACCAAATCTGGTCCCTGGATCCTTTCTCTCAGGTTCTGAAACTGTTCTCTGGCTCCTTGACCTCATAAAAAAGATACCTTTTCATTTTCACTTTTTTCCAAGGTATTTATGCTTTGGAAACAGTCAAAATAAAACTTCCCTCATGGAAACAATGAGATTAAAGTATTTTGTACCTGTATAAAAGTAAAGAAATAAATATCTAATATAATTCAGCTAGCTGTATGTTCTGAATAATCTTCCAAATGCATCAACTCATTCTTCAACTAATTATGTAACTGAGTTTTTAATCTATGAAAACCCTGACAGTTTTTTAGCGTTTACCTGTTTCAGTTTGACTCCAGCAATTTTTTGGAGATCAAAACCACGTAATTTCCTGTACAATCCATTCTCTGCCAAGCAGGCATAACTGGCATCTGGTGAGGAATTCATGGTTAAAATAAATGAATTGCTAGAAACACCGAGACTCATGTTACATAGTACTTAGCAAGTGGATGGAGGCCTCCTTTATTATCTACCAATTTCACTTATAAGTACTGACTTAGAAAAGTTATGCAGAATAGTCACAATGATGTAAAGAGCTGTATAATCATGGTTTCTGAGAAATCACTATAATACCCCTCAATATGTTAATAAGGTAGCATATGTTGATAAGTTAGCAATATATTTGTTGATAATAACACTTCCATCTACAGGTAAAAAAAATTACATGCAACAAAATTTTCAGGAAACTTACAGTTATCCTATCTGGAAGTTAGTTTTCCGTTGGGGCCTATGCCTAAATATCTAGCCCCCAAAAAAGTGCACAGCAAAGGACCAAAAGAATGAGAAAAGTGGGATTGTCTTGAGGGCAACATGAAGAGTGAAATCTTCTTCAGAACTCATAACTCTGCTATCCAGCCAGCCACCTGTCACTAGGCAGCCCATATATAATCAGAACAAGCAAGGATGTGAGTGGACAATGGTAAAAACCTGACCAGGCCCCTGGGAGAGGTTCAAGGAACCCACAGAGCAACAGATGATTCTAATTAAGAAAAACTATCCAAGAAGTCTCCAGGTGGCCTCAGCTTGGCCTATCTTGTTCCTTGCAGTGTCTTCTCATTCTCAGTTCAATCATGCCCAGGAAACACCACAGCCCTGCACATGTATTCATCTTCAACCCTTTCCAACATCTCTCTTTTTTTTTGTTTTTTTGACTCCCAGGATGGGTGGCCACATTAAGGTGGGGAAGCATTGAGGAGAACTCCAATTTAAACTCATCATAGTCCATCAGTTCATAACAGTAGTCATTTACCAGTATAGCCAGCAATTGTCAGAGGATGTTAATGATCCTAGCTTCCCCCACAGCCAAGCTTTTACACTGCACTATATCTTCAGAGGCCAGACTTTTCTGCAGGTCATCCAAGGCCAAGCAATCATGAGACCTTCATTAACTACTGTCTTAGTTATTTTTTACTTCTTTCTGAGACAAAATACCTGAAGCCCAAGTTGAGGAAGGAAACGTTTATTTCTTTTGTTTTTGGAGGTTTCAGTCCACACTCAGTGGGCTCCAACGCAGGTGTGCATGGCTGGGCCGCAGTTCATGGCAGCTGCAAACAGCAAGCAGGAACCAGCAAAAAGCAAGACACACTTTCTTCCTGCCATTATATTACATTCTGGCTCCACCCCTATGTGAGTGTAGCACTAACACCATCAATCCACGTACTACACAATGAACCATCACAAATGCACAATGCAAACTTATGAAACCTGGGGGACACAGGAATAAACCATGACATTCCACCTTTGGCCCCCAGGACTCATGTACATCCATTATACAAAAAGCATTTAGTTCACTTCC